GATCGCCGGAGTCCAGCAGGTCGCCGCTGGTGTGGCTGTGAGCGTGCCACTGTATTCCAGCCTGGGCGATGAAGTGAGACTCAAACTCAAAAAAAAAAAAAGATACTGCCTCTCAGTATTCTAGTATGAACAACAATAAGATGAAATTTTAAAAACACTACCATTTATAACAGCTTCCTAAAACATGAAATACTTATGGACAATTTTAATAAAATAGATGGAACACCCACATCATGAAAATGATAAAATACTGACAAAAATTAAGTAAGTCTGAAAAAAATAGACCACAGTCATGGATCAGAAGATTCAAATTGGTAAGATGTCACTTCTCCCTACATTGATCTGTAGATTCAACATAATTCCACACAAAACTGTATTACACATTTTTTTCCCTGTAGAAATTAACAAACTGATCCTACAAAGTATAGGAAAAGGCAAAGGAGCTAGAATTGCCAAAACAATTTTGAATAAAAAAGATCAATGTAGGCCAGGGGTGGTGGCTCATGCCTATAATCCCAGCACTTTGGAGGGGGCGCAGCTGAGAGGACTGCCTGAGCCCAGGTTTGAAACCAGCCTGGGTCACTTGGTGAGACATCTCAACAATAAATTTTTTTTTAAATTAGCCAGGTGTGGACGCACATGCCTGTAATTCCAGCTACTTGAAAGGCTCAGGCAGGATTGCCTGAGCCCAGCAGGTCGAGGTTGTGGTGGCCGTGAGTGTGCCACTGCACTCCAGCCTGGGCAACAGAGTGAGACTCTAACACAAAAAATAAAACAAAATAAAATAAAATGTTGAGGACTCATAATTCATGATTTCAAGATATAGTGTACAGCTACAATAAAAAAAGACAACGGGAATGGGCAAAAGGGTAGACACAGAATAGGCTCCGGAAATAGCCCAAATGAATTTTTTTTTTTTTTGAGTTGGAGTCCCACTCCATCGCCCAGGCTGAAGTGCAGTGGCATGCTCATGACCACCTCAGCATCGTCCTGCTGGGCTCTGGCAATCCTTCCACCTCAGACTTCCAAGTAGCTGGAACTATAGGCGCACTCTAACACACCCAGCTAATTTTTTTTGATTTATTGTAGAGACAAGGTCTCACCATGTTGCCCGGGCTGGTCTGAAACCTGCGGGCTCAGGCAATCCTCTCACCTCAGCCTCCCAAAGTGCTGGGATTACAGGTTTGAGCCACCGTGCCTGGCCTGGACAAATGAATTTTGACAAAGGTGCAGGTTATTCCATGGAGAAAGGACAGTGTTCCCAACAAATGGTGCAGAAGCAACTGGATAATCATGAGGGATAAAAATGGAAACTGAATTGAACTTTGACTCCATATTCAAAAGTAACTTCAAGTGGATCCTAGACTTAATTCTGAGAGCTGTAACCATGGAACTTCTTCAACAAGGTTTCTCAACATCACACCATTGACACCTGGATTGGACTAACTCTGTTGCAGGGGCTGTCCTGTGCTTTCTACCCATGAGATACTGGAGAGCAACCCAGCCCGTGATGACAACTGTGCCATACCCAAAATGAGAGATACACCTGTACCCAGCTGAGCCCTGCTGGTCTAGGTAAAGGGTAGGGGCCAGAGATATGCCACACTGATAAAATATCATGTTCTAATGGTGCAGGGACTACTAGATATCAATACAGTAAAAGTGAAAGTCATGCCATAAATAAAAATTAATTCAAAATGGATCATAGACCTAAACATAAGAGTTGTTTTTACGTTTAGATAGAGATAATAAAGCAGCCAGAGATACCAATGAAGGAACAACAGGATTCTGATCATTAACTGTGTTTAAGCAAAAATAAAACATGTTTTTTAATACAGGACGAAAAAATACATGTTTTACATGTCTTTTTCCTTTTTTTGAGTCAGTCTCACTCTGTCATCTAGGCTGGAGTACAGTGGCACAATCACCACTCACCACAGCCTTGACTTCCTGAGATCAGGGATCCTCCTGCCTCAGCCTCCTGGTAGCTGGGACTACAGGGACTCACCACACACCCACCTATTTTTTAACGCTTTGTAGAGACTAGATCTCACTATGTTGCTCAGGCTAGTCTTGAACTCTTGAGTTCAGGCAGTTCTCCTGCCTTGGCCTCCCAAAGTGCTGGGATCACATGCATGAGCCACCAGGCCCAGCCACATGTCTTTTACTATAGGACACAAAAAGCAGAAACTACACATAATTGATAAATGGGACTTCTTCAAAATTAAAATTTCCTTTCCTTTGAAAGACACTATTTTAAAAACTCAAGAGAAATCACATACTGTAATACCTAAATCTAATAAAGAACGTGTATCCAGAGCATATAAAGAAGGCTTACAACTCCATAAAACAAACAATACAATAAAAAACAGATGAGAGATTTGAACTGGCATTTCACCAACACAGATCACAACTAGTGAAGTGTGCAACATCAGTCCTGAAGGCAGCGCAAAGACACAATGAATTACCACTATATAATCAGCAGAATGAATATAACGCAAAATACTGAAAATAGCCATGTTGGGGGATATGAAGGAACTGATGGGAACGTAAATGTTATAGCCACTATGAAAAATAGTTTGGGAGGTTTGTTGAACAGCTACATGTTTACTTAACATATTACCCAGCAATTCCACTCCAAGAAATTGACCTAGTGAAACATGCCCACACAATTTGCTTACATGAACATTTCTTCCAGAAACTTTGTTTACGAGAGCCAAACTACCATCAATAAATGAATGGATAAACATGAAAAAACATGTATAAATCTCTAGACCCTTATGCTGAGTGACAATGTGGAGTTGTAGCCCAGTGACCTGCTTTAACAGCCTTCAGGTAATAATCATGCATGCTCAAGTTTGAGAACCACTGATCTAGACAATCAGAGTAATTCAAATACAGTTAGTGCCATTTCCTTTGGCCACCCAGCATCTAAGTATTTTTTTTTTTTTTGAGTCAGGATCTTTCTCTGTCATCCTGATAGGAGAGAAGTCACACAATCACAGCTCACTGCAGCCTTCATCTGGGCTCTGGCAATCCTCCCACCTCAGCCTCCTAAGCAGCTGGGACTACAGGTGTGTGCCATCATACCCAGCTAATATTTGGACTTTTTTGAAGAGATGAGGTCTCACTATGTTGCCCAGGTTGGTCCTGAACTCCTAGGCTCCAGCAATCCTCAAGTGTTGGGATTATAGGCATGAGCCACCACATCCAGCCCTAAGTATTTTTTAGATGTTCTGGGGATCTCTCCACTTTCAGTCTTGGTGAGTGGTAAAGAATGTCTTCCACCGCAAGAGGTTGAAACATGTAAAATCATGGATATCTGCTATTCAAACCATGCAGCCTGGGTTCTGCCAAAGTCTCTGACTAGGACGTTAATGCTGCAAAAGGGAAGGGGCAGCTCTCAATCTTTTCTCCTCTCTCTATCCCAGTAGTCTGGTGTAGAAGTGACATTGGAGTCAGACTGAGAACACTGCAGGTGAGTTTTGGGGGCAGAAGTGCTCATTAAAACATCAAGGGCCTGGTGGCAATCACAGGAGATTCATCCCCAGACTGGCTTGAGGCCTAATTTTGAAATTGGTTTCAAGACTGGTTCTCTAGTTCTCCCAAAGATATTAGAGACTTAAACAATGTAGGCATATGAATGTAGTTAAAAGCTGTATTATCCTCACAGACCAGTGTGGCAGTGAGAGCTCCACCCACCACAACCTCATTCCAGGTAGAATGTTAGAAAGGTGATGATACGTAGCATATTTTTTAAAGTGGTAGCACTTGGATATATGGATATATGGCCCTACGTAGATGCAAGCAAGGCTGGTGAATGTGGCCTTTACTCAGGAAGGGCATGTATCCAGTTACAAATCGGGATGGTATTTCTGTGGAAGAAGAGAATAGGAGGGAAATCAGCAGTCTCTCCCTCACATACTCAATCACTTAATTAGCACAAACCCTACCCAACAAATGACTTTGATTTATTAATATAGGTAGAACTGTATTTGCAGTATCAATTCACCAAATATAAAATATGACATAGTTAGCAAAGATATCTAGCATATTTTCAAAATCAGCTGAATTAAGTTGCAATATTATTCTAAGTCCCACCTCCTGTTTCTCAAATCCCTTGGCAAAACCTTACCCTGGATGCTCAAAACTAGTTAGTTCATTTCTTGTGCCTTTTTGTTTCTGTTTTGAGTTGGGCTCTCATTCTGTCACCCAAGCTGGAATGCAGCAGCATGATCACAGCTCATTGCATCCTCGAACTCCTGGGCTCAGGTAATCCTCCTGCCTCAGCCTGCTGAGTAGCTGGGACTACAGGCACACACCACCATGCCCAGTTAAATTTTTTAAATCTTCTGTAGAGACAAGGTCTTGCTGTGTAACCCAGGCTGGATCTTGTACATTCTTAGAGAAATATGGGTACTGAAATATGGGTACTGAAACACTGGCATTTCTTTACTTTTTTGCTCACAGGCTGAGGACAGACAGAGTAAGCACAAAATTTAAGCAGCAGTAATTTCCAGTCTGCTGTGAGGTGGTCCACCCAGGCCCATAGGATCAACCATAACATAGGACCTTTGGCTAAGAGGGCCAGGAGACACGCGGCATCCACAGGGTGGACGTGAGGTCAGGACAGTGCAGGAGGTCACCAACACCAAGGGTACCATGACAGCTTTCAGAAAAAGATAAAAACAATGGTTCATCTGCAGGGTGAATGACTCAGTTGTGTCACTCATGTTTACAGCCACAGGACCTACCTCAACACCCCATCAAGGCAACATTAAGATCAGAAACAGATACTGCTGAGGAACCCTGCTGTGTGTTCTTCCAGGGGAGCCGCTCCCCACCCCCAGACTCAGCAGCCCCTTGCTTGGCACAAAGGCAAGATGAAAAGGGGAGACTTTACCCTTGAAATCAGCAATATTTAAAAATAAAGTACACAAATAGATGTGGTCATTGCTTTATTACTTGTAGTTTGCAAGCAATATTTTATATATATATATATATATATATATATAAAAGTCATTTTAAAAACAACCAGATTCGCTAGCCAAGTATCTTTTTCTTTGCATCAGGGATTTCTGTATCATTGATACCTGGAGTCCTTGATATTATTTGTGCAGGTAACCTGGCAAACATTTAAGAACTTTTGAGTTCTCTACTCACAACGCCCCCCCAAAAAAGTCCCACCCTTCCCCTTTAATATGGTTTATTAATATTAAAAACACTAGAAAAATATGCAAGCATTTTATTTTCTGAGTCCTTTCCCTCTGTTTTTATATGTCTGGAGATGCTGGCTTGATTATGAATTCAAAAGTTCTCCCAAAGTCTTTGTTGATGATTCATAGAGAAACCTGAAACACAAAGAAAGAACTATTTAGCTACAGAAAAAAAATGGCCAAATTAACCAAATGTACATTTTCAGAAGGTTTGCAACTGATACATTTTAAAACAAAATGGAAATACTCTGTTTCATTAATTGTTTCTCTTTTGTAAAATGGAGGCAGAATTCCCACCAAAAGGCCATTCTGGAAGGACACAGTACCCAGCACAGTATATGACAGTAGACAGTGAGCCTGTGGGAATGGTGAGCCCCACACATAGCCAGTCAATGAATCGTGCTTCTCAGGCAGTGGACTATGCTTGTCAACTGTTTTTTACTCAAAATGATTCTTACTTATGAGTATCTCAACCACTGGTCAGATCCACAGCAGCAGAGAACAGACTATGTGCTCTCCCTTTCTAGCACATATGGTACTGAGTTTGTGTCTCTACTATACAAGTAAACAAGATAAATGGAAACATTTTACCCATCAAGATGCTCTATTACCAGTACGCTTAACCATTTTCTCCAATAACCTTAGACTTTCAGAAAAACCTCTTTCCCACCACTCCCTTGCATCCCCATCCATCACTTGAGGTGAGACTCTTTCTCCTCACTTCCTCCCCAGCCCCACCTGGGCCAAAACTTTGGCTGAGATCACTTAGTGCTTTTCTTCTCAGAATATTATCCTCATTTCCCTTGCAGTATGCTGATCTTCTTTCAAGAATCATTATTGGATAGCCCTTACATACCTGCAGCATATCACCGTGAATACACATGTTTATAAAGTGCATGGTTCACCACGGCTTACCTTCTTTTAATCATCTATATGGTACCAATGCAAGTTTGTCTGGTCAGAGTCAATTCCCAACTACCTTCCTCTGAGAGGGGATATGGATAAACTAATCTCTGAAATATTTACCGTTCACCTCAAATGACATCTCAGCCAGATCTAAAACTCCTGCCACCTGTAGCTGTTATCCTGTTGTCTTCTTGTGTCCAGCATTGCAAGCTAGACCTGTGTCTACCTGGTGTCTGCCCTTTGGATGACTGCTTTGTCTACAACAGTCCCCCCTAATGTAAATGCGAGTCACAAGTGTCATTTTAAATTTCTAGTATCACATGAAGAGGTTAAAAAATGTGAAATTCATATTTCACATTCTTGTTTCCACACTAAGTCTTCAGTCTTTATGCACTTTATGCTTAGGCTACATCTCCTGTCAGACCTGCCAGCACAGAGCCAGACGAACGTAAAGATTTTTCTCTTCACCCCTGGAATACAGGAATTGTATCCAGAATTAGATGTGATCTTTTTTCATAAATCCCACCCAGAATTTAACGAAATCAAAAAAGAATCTTCAAAATTATTTTTCTTCAGCTCTGGGAAATTTTCTTCTATCATTTTTGAATTACTGCTTCTCCTTGACATTGGGCCTCTTGGGCCTATTCCTCGAGGTCTATCTTCAGCCTCGTGATCTCTCCTCGTATTCATGTTCTGTGTTCTGAGATGTCCTTCCAACTTGATCTTTCAAACCATCTAGAATCTGCTGTCAACAGGGGCCCTGACTCCAGTGCACTTGTGACATTTTAGCTCTAGGTCATCCTTCTGAGGCTACAATTGACTTTCCTTCAAAGACTCTCATGGCTAGTTGTCTGGCTCGCCCACCACTGTTACTCTGTAAACAGTGCCCTCAGTCCCCCCAGCTCCTCCTGGGAGTTCCTGCTCTGCGTGGTTTCTGCTGTCTGTGCTGAACTTGGGGAGAGGGCACAGGTGTGCAGAGGCCGCCACACAGTAATGCCAGGAGACTCTGGACACCTGTGGTCCTCTCACTCTCCCAGCCTCAGCAACAGGAGAGACATCACTCCGGCCAGCTCCTCAGGAGCTGGGGAGGCCAGAACTCCCACCAGGGACAACCTCACTGGGCCTCCGCTGAACCGGAGTTCCTCAGGAGAGGAATGTACACTCTGTTCACATGCCATGTTCCACCCACCCATCGGCCCAGCAACTGCTGGCTCAGCAGCAGTGCAGCTGGAGTAGAGATGGAGGGGAGCAGGGGACAGTCACTAACTCTCCAAAATCTAAAAGTGCTTTTTAGTTATTCAAAAATAGTATCTCCTTAAGCAAGCATGAATTTAAAAGTACTTAAGAGAAAAAATGTTAGGTTATTTTGGCAAAAGTACAGGCATCCCTCAGTTGGGGGATGGGCTCTGGGCACCAATGGATATCAAAATCCAGACACTCAAGTCCCTGATATACAATGATACAGAATCTGCATGTAACCTACAGACATCCTTCCACGCGCTTTAAATCATCTCTAGTTACTTATAACACCTAACATAACATAAATGTGACATACGAGGGGCACCCTGAAAAACCAGGAATCATCTTTGGGAGGGAGGGCCCTTTGTAGAACAGGCTTCTCCTGCTAGGGGAGTGTTCTCGGAGCCCACTGGCATCAGTGTACCAGCTGGTGTTGTCCTGAGAGGTTGTGTTCAGCTTCAGATCATTTTTTTTCAACACCCATTTCATGATGGGTGATTTATAAACACACCTGCCCACACGGCACTGAGTGCTCAGCAGTTTTTGACTAAAAACAGCATGATCCCCAGGCCCCACCCTTCCTATTTACCCGATCTCATCCTGAGTGACTTTTGTTTCCCCGTATTAAAAAAGTTCTCAAAGGGAAATGTTTTGCCTACATGGAAGAGGTGAAACAAACAATGGCAGAAGCACTAACAGGCATCCAAACTGATGAGTTCAAAAACTGCTTTGAGCAGTAGAAAAAGCATCTTGATAGGTGTATTACATCAAACAGAGAATACTCTGGAGGTAACTGAAGTTTAAACATGTAAGAATAAACACAGTTTTTAATACATTCTGGATTTCTCTGGGTCCCCCATCATAAATAGTTGTTATACTGTATTGCTTAGGGAATGATGACAAGAAAAAAGTGTGCATGTGTTCAGTACAGATAAGAACATTCATTTTTCCCCAAAATATTTTAAAGCCATAATTGAATTTACAGGTGTGGATGCCATGGATACTAAGGGCTGACTGTACTTATTAATCAGACAGCACTGACCCAAGTCTAGAGTGGCAATAATCATGACTACGTATTGTCTTCCTGTACGAGGAAAGGTGGTAAGGCAACGTGCCCAAGACCACACAGATGATAAAGACAGTCTGGCTTCCAGCCATCTGTCTCTTGACTACTAGAACACTGAAACGGTATTCTACTGTACTTCAACTTTATTCGTTCTTCTATGACCTGAAGAATACACTGTGCAAACCAGAGAAATAAGAACTATTAAAGAGCAAAATGAAGACAACATGAAATTTTAGAGATGGAAGTTACAGTGACAAAACCTTAGACAAAAAACTTACCAGGCCAGGGTTACCCTCACATATAAGAGACATGTGAAACAGATTACATGTAGACTTTAGACCTCAGCACTAAAGTCCATAAAATGTGTCAGATGTGAATACTCAAAACCTCATCATCTTTACTTCTCATTGTCTAAGTCAGGTTAGGATCATGGGCGAGTGATAACAGCCACAAGAAAGGCAGGTAGAATTAATTTTATTAGAAAACAATAAGATAAAATTACAATGTATATATTTATTAAACAGTAGTTTTATTCGTGAACAGTTTTTAATTACCCACACCAACTTCCATTGAGTATTGTTGATAGAAACATGCTGCTAAATAAGCTATAAAAAGGCATCCAGGTCCAAAATCATTCTTAAAAAGGATTATTAAAATTTACATAGAGCAGAATAAGATGAACTAATAATCACTTATCAATACTGAACAAAAAAGCGACCACTTTTTCAGGGAGTACTCCTTTACTTCAAGGTCTCGTTAGTGACTACATTAAAATACTATTAAAGTTCCTTGCATATTGGCCAGTAATTTGCATGTAAAATGATTACAGTTCAATTTTTTCAGTGGGAAAAATTCAAGAGGTAACACAAACCTTAAAAAATATTTAGCCATGCACGGTGGCTGAAGCTTGTAATCCCAGCACTTTGGGAGGCCAAGGTCAGAGGACTGCCTGAGCCTGTGGGTTCAAGACCAGCCTGGGAAACATGGTGAGACCTTGTCTCTACAATAAATCAAAAAATTAGTCAGGCATGGTAGAGCACGCCTGCAGTTCCGGCTACTTGGAAGGCTGAAGCGAAAAGATCACCTGGGACCAGCAGCTTGATGCTGGGGTGGCCATGAGCATGCCACTGCACTCCAGCCTGGGTGACAGAGTGAGACTCCAACTCAAAAAAGAAAAAGAAAAAGAAATATTTATACTTCTGGCCAGGCACAGTGGCTCACGCCTGTAATACTAGCATTTTGAGAGGCAGGGGCAAGAGGACTGCCTGAACCCAGGAGTTTGAGACCAGCCTGGGCAACATGGTGAGACCTCTTCTCTATAATAAATAAAAATTATTAGGGGGGCGTGGTGATATGTGCCTGTAGTTCCAGCTATTTGGAAGGCTGAGGATATGGTAGCTGTGAGTGTGCCACTGCACTCCAACCTGGGCGACAGAGTGAAACTCAGATTTTAAAAAGGAGAGATATTTATATTTCTGCGGTCTCAAATTACAAATGTATTACTATCTTCATATTATTTAATACAGTAATAATTTTAACAGACTTGACATTTAAATGCACCAGCGTATTGGCAAATGTGTGTTGTTTCTCCTAAGAAAATATGTCCAATTTACAATATGCTATACTGGGTGAGGCAATTAAAATGTGATGAGATGCAATTTTTATTCAGGACCCAACAAACCAGTCAACAAACCAGTCTGGTTAGAACCAGAATTCTAACCATGCTAGAGAGAAAACTAGATTTGTTGTTAAGAAAATGTTCGCTTCTAAATTAATGCCCCACTGCCTAAAATAGTAATTGCACCAAGAGGTTCCTAGAGAGTCTTAAAGATGTTTACTTGCCTTAATGTCTCTAGTCCAACATTAAATCAATAATATTTAAAATTAAAGTCTTAAATCTTAATTTTTTATCTTCCATTAGGTA